CATGTATCTGTGTGTTTGTCTGGGTGCATGTGGATGTGGGCTTGGGTTGTGTATGTGTGATTATGGGTGCACATATGCGTAGGGGTGGGCCATATGGAATCATAACAGTTGAAATGACCTACAAAGTTATTCAACACTATGTTTGAGATTTGTGGCATAGGTCCACTGCAAGCATGCAGGATGGTTACATATTACAGATGCCAATAGGTTGAAATCTCAGAGAACTGAATTCATTTCATCTATAAACTATCTGCATTGCCACAGAATTTGTGTAGTAAAACATTAAGAGGATTTTAAATGGATGTTAAAAGTTATACAAAGAAGGGTCAAAATTTAAAGGAAAACATGTCTCTTCACATAATACGTAAAAGAATCAGAACTCCTCCATGGAATTCTCTGGTACTTCCACATCTTCCATCCTCCTCAAACAATCACATTTCCTTTTCATATCCATCACCCTCAGTCTCCAAATTACTCAAGATATATCTTCCATGGACTAGTTAGTTTAGAAAGGCCAGATCAACCATTGGAAAGGATTAAACTAAGAAGAGATGCAAATCTAGTGCGTTAGATATTAGTGTAATACATAATATACACCTATCAACATGTGAAGCTAATGCAGGCCTTGGAAGATATATCTTGACAGACATTAATTGCAACTGAATATCTTACCATCTGTCGAATTGCTGACTCGAACGATCTTTTCGGCACTGAATTTGAAGGAGAAGGTCTGGATGGTTTCTTGGAGAATGCCATAGGCCTGCTATTCACTGACATTCCATTTCGTCTAGCAGGAAGGCTGCTAGAAATCACCATAGAGTGCAGGGAATCCATATCATCATCACCAGAGGAGACTACAGAACCCTTGCTATAAGAGCTGAAGAGATCTCGGTCATTACTGTATGATGAGTTCGTACTTCTAGAAGCAGTAGGCGACATAGAGTGTCTGCCCCTTCCGGTTCTCGGTGTTGGAGACAAACCTCTATCATGTGGCGACGGCCTATTAGATAGCGAGGTTCGAAGGTTTGGAGGTGCATCAGAGGAGAAACCAGGAAGGGTTGATTGCCATCCCCGTAATTTTGGTGAAGCAGAGTTTCCGCGACTTGCCCTCATGGGAGATGATCCCCTTCTTCCAGAGGATGATGCCTGTGCATTTGAACCAGTACTCATTCTCCTGGGTGTAGGAGTTGAAGATCTTGGAGTTGTTGCTGTTGGTTTAATTGGAGGGGTAGATGATCTTCTTGAAGGTGTCACCGGCCGTACAACAGGAGGTGGACTAGAACGTGGAGCTGAAGATGGCCTTGATGTCAATTGTCCGAAGTTATTACTAGATCGAGGCGATGGGCTAAGACGATGTGGACTAGCACTGCTGCGACTACTCCTGTGAGTTTTCTCATTCTGTAGTGACAAAAGAAGAGATGAAAAGCTTCTAAATTTGGATATGGAAACAGCTATATTATGCGGAAAGGAGATGAGCATCCTCACCATGGACGATGACCGTGAAACATTAATGGGTTGACTCCGTGGCCTGCCCCTAGAAGGCAAGTTTTGAGGTTGAGGGTCTTCATCATCCAAGGAATGAAAGAGAGGAGTCTCAGGAGGAGTCAATAGCCTGCATCATAGAACAATCAACCATTTGTGAAAATATGTATCATTAATAGCTACAGGCAACATACTATATGCCAAGAAGAGAGGAACAACCTGTAATAATCCTTAATCTAAGACTTACAAATACATATACTATTCATGTGTTGTTGCAGCAATTAATGTAAGTCAAGCACCAAGGCATAAAAACACACAAGTTATTCTCATTTTGTATAGTTTAGAAGTTTTTTAATATTTCCATGATCTACGAGCGTAAAACACAGCAAACCCAACTCACCATTCATAATCATTTTTCTCCCCATCCAAGTTTAATAGATCGCTGCTCTCTCCTCGTGCTGGAATGCTGATCTTGAAATCCGAAAGGTACCGTAATTTTGCTGATACGCACATAAACAGGAAAGGAAAAGGAATTAGTTCCAAAGAATAAGAATATCTACAAGCTTAGAGGGATTAATAGAGACATTACAAAGAGAATCATCAAAATCATCAACAGTGTGGAGCAAGAAAGTCTCCTTCTCCTTATTCTGCATATCGTTGAACAAGGCAAGATCATCATCTTTGGCTTTGAGTCTCAATCCACCCTCAAGACTATGACCCCTCTTATGGGTGTTCTCCGTTCTGTGCTCCCACCCAGGGGAGCACCTCAAAGCCGGTGAAGGCGGCATCTCAAAGCCTAATCTCCTCTCTCACAGAGCTCCCACCACATTATCTTCCTCAGTCACAGAACCCCAAAGTCGATCCACAGCTGAAATTATCAAATGCAACTGATTAGGCAAAAAAGGGTAAATTTACAAACAAAGAGTTCGCTACTTTCCCAACTCGACCATCAAAATTCAGTTAAAGTTATCAAATTCGAGCTGCATTTTGATAACTTCCTACAGTTAAAACCGTATATTGATAAAAATCCACAGATGAAATTATCAAATGCAGCCACTTGGGCCATAACTCTCTCGGTTTTCTTGCTAAAATCGGTGCAAAAACCTTTATCATTCTTTTCATCGAAATTCAGTTAAAACTCCTACTTTCAAAGAAGAAAAATTGCAATCAAGAACAGCTACTTACTTGTGTTCTACTAAATTCAAGCTCCCCCCAACCGGATCAAAGCTCACAACCAACTCAATTGCCCTCGAGCACGAATTTCAATGCAGCAGCTCGCCTCTGATCTAGGGCTCACGGAATTTTTTGGGGATAATCGGCACCGAGATCGAAACCCTAGCTTTTTCGGGAACAATTCAAGGGCAACAATCCAATAATGGGAAAAAAAGCGAGTAAAGAAAAGAAATGAGAGGTCAGAGACAACAAATGCTCGTTAGGGTTTCTTTTTCTCCACTGACATTTCCTCGTCTTCAAGCTTCCCTCAGGAGCACAGCACAACTTATTTGTTTATTTATTTATTTTGTTTTTTTTACTTTTTTTAAAATTTTGATTAATATTCTTCAGATAAAGAAAGTCGTATTTACGAGGGTGCCACTGGACAGCTAACAAATAACGAATTAAGAGGGAAATTTTTCCTTTAAAAAAAAAAAGGAAAAGTTTGGTGTCGGGAGACCGCCCGTAAGGTCACCTCCATGCAGAATTGAGGAGAGGGCGGAAAACGGTGATCAGGCGGCTGTGGTTCATTTAGATGTTGGTTTTTGGACGTTAGTTTAGCATTAAGCATTTTCATGGGTTTGGACTAGGGGTGTGCAACGGTCGGTTCGGTTCGGTTTTTACAAAAATTTGAACAACCTAACCGAACCGCCTATAATTCAAAACCGAACCGAACTGTTGCAAGTCAGTTCGGTGCGGTTCGGTTCGGTTTGTTCGGTTCTAACTTCATCAATCTTCTTATCAAACAACAAACCGTGTTAAAGAAAAAAAGATATCAACAAAGTAGGAGATTATGAAGCATTAAAAAAAGATATCAACAAAGTAGGAGATTATGAAGCATTAAATACTGATATAATGATATTATTTTTAACCCATAATGATTCACAACAAAGTAGGAGATTATGAAGCATTAAATACTGATATAATGATATTATTTTTAACCCATAATGATTCAAAAAATGAGTTTAGGGTTTGAGTCTTTGACTCTTTGGGGACGAGTCAGGTAGGGTTTGAGATCAGAATGGATAGTATTGCACTATATTCGGTCGGTTCGGGTCGGTTCGGGTTGAAAAGTTTTCAAACCGACTCGAACCACCTTACTCATAAAACCGATTTTTCCGGGTCGGTTCGGATCGGTTCGGTCGGTTTTTTCGGTTTAGACCGAACCATGCTCAGCCCTAGTTTGGACAAAAGAGAGCTTAGAATTGAGTTGTTCGCCATTGGGCAATAATTATTAATAAAACATTTAGTTTAAGTAGGTCGGCTTTTGATTCTGTGAGCTTATCCATAAATTGTCTTCAAAAAAAAAAAGATGATTTGATTAGTAAGGGCCTGTCATCTAGGGCCCACCTTTAATGTAGTTTATTATTATTTTCTCATTTAAGGCTTTTCTATTTTCATTTTGTGCTTGGCTTGTTCATTTTTTAGGGGAGTGGTCGAAAAAGCGAGTGTCGTCTCAAGAATACAAGAGAATACATTTCAAGCTTTTGGGCTCGAAAGCTCGAAAATAGATTGTAAAGGTAATAAACTACGATAATATAATGAGGGAGAGATTTTTTTAGGCAACTTTCTAAATCGGATTGTAATAAAAACCAATAAAATAAGGGGTTTTTCAAGGGTTACATATAGGTGAAATTAATACAAACCATATTAATATTTTTTTACATGTACACCACCTTATATACGTGTTATGCTCTCAATGTCACACCTTCGTCACTATTCAACCCAACCCCTCCACTTGATTCCTTCATTCTCCTCTTCTTCCTCCTACTCTCCTTCGCATTCACCTCCTTTTTCCTTTCACATCCTCATTCATTCTCATCTCTTCCTTCTCTTCCTCCTCCACCTCCTCCTTCCATCCTCCTCTCTCTCTATTCTCACCACCGATGCCAACCTCCTTCCCTCCTCCTCTCATGTCATCCACCTGATTAACTTCTCTCCTCCTCCCCTCATTCTCTCTTTTTTTTATTTGGTTAGACTAAGAGGTATTGTACTAACTTCACATCTATATCTATATCTATACTACATATAAAAGATGATTGTCTTGTCAAAACTTTTAATTTTTATTTTTACCCTTTTAAGTTTATAATTCTGAAATATGTCATTAGTTGTAATTAATTATTCACTAATTATATATAACCTCTGATTACTTTTTCAAAAAAAATTGGACATACTATTACTTTATTATATTGTACTAACTTCACATCTATATCTATATCTATATCTATACTACATATAAAAGAGGATTGCCTTGTTAAAACTTTTAATTTTAATTTTTACCTTTTTAAGTTTGATAATTTTGAAATATGTCATTACTTGTAATTAATCATTCACTAATTATATATAACCTCTTATTACTTTTTCAAAACCTTTGGACATACTATTACTTTATTATTTAATTATGTTATTTAATAGGAAATTTAAAATGTATCCCTAATTTATCTTCACATAATATTTAAAATTCTAGAAAAATTAAAAATAGTAAAAATTAATTAGGCCTACACCTTACGCCTTTGGGTTTCACCTCTTATGGAGGACTACATGTTACCTTGCATCTTATTAGCCTTTTAAAAATATGGTAATAATATGAAAAACAATTTTTATTTATTGTAATTATAATAGTATTGTTAGTATAATGATTTTATTAGTATTTTTAAAGTAATAAATTATATTGTAATTTAATAATTATTTAATTTAGTAAATTATTTACTAATAGTGTAATAAACTAATTATTAAATTAAAATGTAGTTACTAAAAGTATTATAATTATTCCAAGTACAATATTGTCATATTTAAAAGAGAGAAACTATTTAATATATTAGAAATATTTTAATAAATTATGAATAAATTACAATATTTATCCAAACTATAATAATTAATCATATAGTTATTTATACACAGTTTGTCATACAATTACTCATTTAAAAAAATTATAATTACAATTACTCATTTAAAAAAATTATAATTGTTCAGATTTTATATAACTATACAAGTTATTTTATTTTTTTTGCAGCCAACAAAATGTTTTTTAAAAAGCGTAAAATAAAATAGGTATGCTCTCATATAAAGCACATGCATTATACTAGTTTTTTAAAATAAAAATTATCCAAAAGTGTGACGTTGAGATAGTAACACATATATAAGGTGGTTGTATAACAAAAATATATTAAAGATGATTTGTATCAATTTCACCTATATATAAGGAGGTTCTAAAAAAAAAACCCATAAAATAATGAACCTGACAACTTTCTAATTATAGAAGAGGGAAGAGACATTTCCTGGTCCATGTTTTCCATGTGAAAAAAAATACTTATAAAGTTTTTTCAAGAAGCATTCAGAAAATGATAAGAAATGCACTTCCAATGTCACTTTCAATTTCCTATATTTTTTTAGAAAACAAACCAAACTAACCCTTACACGAAGTTCTCAGCCTACTTCTAACGGTCACTAGCTATGTATGTTACAGTCTAACATTATATAAACGTAATAATATGTATTTATATTATAATATGTGTATATAATATCATAGTTTTAATAAATTTATAATATATATATATGTACAATATTAAAATTTAATCTAATTTATGTACTATATGTAAACATTAAATTTCATTAAATGCAATGCATTATGGAAAGTAATATGAATAAAATTTTGATTAAAGTATTTTCGATAAGCCGATTAAAAAGGTACTGATGGGGGAAGATTGCTAGGAAAAAAATTGTCATTAAAATGATTAACAGTTATGTCTTATAAATATAAAATATCACATAATTTAATAAAAGTACCCTACTAGCCTATTTCAACAGAAAACAAAGAAATACAATTATTTAGAGCTACGAAGGTCTGAATATATAATTCCAATTTAATTGAACCGTTAAATCATGAAGAACTTCGGAACAAGCGAACTGTCGCCCACATAAGCAATTTCTATATACCATTGGACCCCACTTATTTCTTTGTCAACCATCGTGACGACCAAATATTTTATTAGCTCAAGCATCATTTTTTCTAATCACTAACAACATGATTAAGACTATTATATAACATTATACGTATTGTTTAGAAGGAATGATTAAAATTGAGAATATAATAATAAGAAGGGAGCATACTAATGTGTACAATGAGTTGTATTTTGAAGGACATTTTAGGTCATGTTGGCAACATAAGTATACTCCGAATGATTAGACTGTTTACCATCCATGATTTTGATTACGGATAAATACAAGTCTTAACATATAGGCAATTTCTTATTCTCCTAGTTTAGAGATTGGAATGGATAATGCTGATCATGTAAACTTGAATTTGAGTAAATTTAATCTAAAAGTTTAAGCTTCTAGTTATTAGTGCAGACTCTTGTTTAAAACCATCGCTCGTTTTTTATCATATCAAACTTGACACTATGCTCCCATACGAATAACTTTAACATCTTCCCCTTCATTTTAAGTAGAACTGACAACCATGAAGTGCTCTTGTTAACATAAACATAAGTAGTAGACATGTAAGTATTGGTACCCTTTTATGTTGGGTCCTTTGGATTAGCCTTAAGTGTTGGGTTCTTTTGTTTTGATGATGATTAACAAATAATTTACAACAAATGTTATTTGTCTAGTGTTTGTGTTTTGTATTTATTCTAGGCAAACAATATGTTGGAGGTTGGATGGATTGAGCCTACACAATCACATCAAATGGAGGTTGGCGGAATAGTGGAATGAAGCCTATGCATACTAGTCGAGATCCAAGTTCAAGCTTCTTCCATGTTTACCAAGACAAGCTACAATGAAGATCTATCAAGCTTGGGTAATTTAGTTTTAGGTTTATACTTGTGTGTAGATACTTTAAGCTCATATTAATCACACACACGTATTTGTTGATTTTATTAAAATATAGGTGTTTTTGATAAAATATTATTTTATTAGTTTATAGACTTCAATATCAGTTTATACATATTTTATTAAGTCTATAAAATCAGTTTATAGAATTTCAAAACATAGTTTAGTCAAAATGTCAAAACAAGTGTGTTTACATTTACATGTTTTGAACTATTTTAAAAAATGAAGAGTTTTCTCATTTGGGAGGTGATTTTTGAAAACCAGTTTTTGTAACATGTGTATTATCATGTTTACAATCATTTTCCAAAATTTTACATTATTCTAATTTTATTTGCTATTTTTATAGACAGTTTAAAAAAATTAGATTTACTGTTTTAATCAGACTGATACAGTGTTATCAGTCGACTGATGAATGTGTTCACTCGACTGAAAAAATCACCTGGAATAAAAAAAGTTTTTGT